GGCTTTCACCCTAACTATAACCGCAGACTCAACCTTTAGTCTGGCTCGACACTAACCTTACTATTATAACTAATTTCCTTGGAAATCGACTAAAGATTTTCAAGTGGGTGAGGGTGACACCTATTTCATGTCTTGTTCAACCGTTAAAGACAACTCAAACAGTGAAAGGCAGAACCTTTGCTTTCCCAGCCTGCAGACTGCATTTTGGACATTTTAGCAGTTGGTCGGCAAACGTACGTTTCCGCTATTCCTCAAGTCTATCTGTTAATGTATGTGACGCGACGACAGTGAAACATACTCATACGCCATTGACGCATATCCCTTGTCCCTGACTGCAGAATTTGTTCGCAATTCTTCCTCCCTGTTTTAGCCTCGCTAGACATCCCTCAACAGTCTCCCCCACATACTTACCTTGGGTTACTTCTTACTATCCTAGCCTGACTTACATTTTTGTGAATACCTGGTGATTCATAGTTAAAATGCCTTTTTCCCGATTTAATTGTTCCAATTTAGAACTTTGTATAGTTGAAGATAAAAATACAATTTATTTCATCAAAAAATTTATTCCTATTCTATTTCCCTCTTTACGCTCTTTTGAATAGATTCAACTGTTTGCACTAAAACATCGTTTAAAGAAATTTGAAGCCAAAGTTGTCATTGCGTTAACCATGTAGACACCATAAACTAAGTTATTTTCTTTTCCTAACCTCAGATTCATCTTTCGTCTCAACCTGTTTCCTTCTTACAGTTGTTTGTTTTGGCCATCTTCCCTATAGGCGTTTCGGTCAATATTACCTGAAAAAGGATGCTGATGTTCCCTCAGCAGTCATTCTGAGAGAACTTAAATCGAGACTAGTGAGCTTGGAGGCGGAATTGGGCAATACACAGATGGTAAGTCGGAATGTATGTTTACTCTAAATTTGTATTTTAATGTGTGGCTAACAAGTAATGCATGTGATACAACTAGAATCTTATCACCGAAATTAACTAAGTAACTGCACGTTTATGTTAACAGCCAACGCTAAGTTATATCTCCTTCATTTATGTAATTATCGAGGTGATGATCAGCACAGCTTTAAAACACTAAACAAGGTAAACCTTCACTTGTTCAACTACTTCTGGGTTTTCGTTAACCTATAGGGTGAATGTGGCCAAGCATTATCTCATTTAACATGTAAAATTATAATTACACACCGGTTTTACCCAATTTTATCCAATTGGAAAAGCATCTTTCACATTTCGTATGCTGATTTCTTCAAACTATTTATTATCAAACAGACGCATCTGTTAAGCATTCTGCACCCCCAAATAATGTGGATGGCCGGCATGCACAATTTAAACTAATCATCAGCCATATCTACTTTCTATTTTCTTTAGTATGCCATCCCCACATATATCTAATCATATCTGCCAGAGAAGTTGTACTAAACTTTTTCTATAATTATTCAGTACGAAACCTCTGCTTGTGTATATATGACACTGGAACCTTGGTGGATAAACTTTCAAAAACAGAGTACTTCATCATATAGTCAATCATCGGCAACACTGAGTTAACTCAAGTATTTAATCACAAAAAATATAATTTTATAGGGATCTGAAAGGATCCATAAGTACACTTTAAAGAAATAAAGTAACTTTTAGATTGGAAATGTCAATCGTAAAATATAAAGTCAGTGGCCCTCAAAATATATGAGGCTTGTGAAGCACTTGCAGTTAAATTATTTTAAGCAGTCAGCTTCGGTATAACTAATATGAGTATGAATTCACTGAGTATTCATGCTAAGGAAAATTGTTTGATTTTCTTAGCAATTGAAACTCAATCCAAAATACTGCTGTAGTAAACATTATTTTTTACCACAGCTAGTGACACTCTGTACTTAAAACGTATTATGTAAAAACGATGCTCTCCTTGTACTCCTCGGGGAGTTTTAGTCTCGTTTTTGCAGCGCAGATGTCACTGATATTTTGCCTGTTCCCACCTTCAGGCATTCACTAAATGCCAGGGCGATACTGGCCAAGCTGAGGTAGCAATAAACGGACGAGATTCTCGTATACTGCAGCTCGAGGAGAGCGTCGAACGGATGCGAAATGAACTGGCTGACGTCTCAGTGGTAAACGAGGCTTTGAAAAAGGACAAATGTTCGGTGCGTTACCTGTACTATTAACGTGGTACTTATTGTCAATTAGTAGCCCTTTTATTTACATACTCTCCACTGCCGACCAGGAGAAGGAGACAGGAATGGCCATTTCCGGTTCATTAACCGTCATCGACCAATTATATCTAACCCCAGGTTTGTCAACCTCTGAGACTCGCTTCTGCAACCTGTTGATTAGAATTCCAACCCTCGAACAACTGTATTAGCGTTATGCTTTCTACCTAAGTCTACCTGCGATGGATTCAGAGCATGCTGTCCAACTTCCACCCGCTTCCTCCACTTGCACACTCCTTAGGTATCCTTACGTCTTACGTCCTTAAGTAGATTCAGATAAGAGTACAAAAGTACGTGACAATTGTAGATACCGAGTGCTCAATTTCAGCCTTAAATACAAGAGGCAAATCTTACGTTTATGCTAACTGAACTTAGCCTTTAATGCTATTTGGTAGTTATATGCATATAGTTCATTCGTGGTAGTCAGGAAAAATGCTCTGCAGCCCATCAAACTTCCTCTTTGAAGCGCATTCTCATCTAAGCCGGTCTTCTTTAGCCCAAATAGTTTGGCTCTAATAAGTACCCTACAACAGCAGCATAATTGGCTGCATCTTGCACTTGTAAGGTTAAAGCAGCCTGGCTACTTATTATACCTATAGTTTTTAACTCCTTTAGGTATTGCTCTTTCTGAGTTGGTTGCAAATGAATTTCTCGAAAGTTTATCCTTCTCCTTTTTTCCTCTACAGCTGAACAGTTTCCTTATGAAGGTGGCTGATCACCTCAAGCTCGATGAGTTATCTGCCGAGGCCGAAATACCCCTGCTTATGGACGCAGTATTCAGTAAGAAAGGCTTTCTAAGCTATCCAGCCCTTTTTGCTTTGTCAAAGGTGGACACTCATTCGTGACTCGACGCTCATTTGACTTGACTATTAAGAATAGTGCATTAAAACTGTGGATTTTTGGCATTTTCCTAGGGATCTTCACTCAATTCTTCATTTTGAGGACTATTTTTCAAACCAAGAACGTGGCTAGGACTCAACGCTGAAATAAGCTTATCAACAGATGACTAAATGAAAGTTGTGCTTATTCTGATTTTGAAAAAAGCACCCGACGTTTCATTAAGTGAAGAGTCATACTCTGTAACGTCCACACGATACCTTTTCCAATATTAAAGAAGTCCAAGTTCGGGCCTGTCACGGTGTAGGTTGTCTCAGCCATCTTATCTAGTCAGCGTCATTTTTAAAAGTCAGAAAGTATATAGTTCTGACGTTGCATGATGATTCTGTATTAGAATGCGTATTGATCAAGGGTAGTCTCGATTATCCTTATGCATTACCTTAGAAACACCCCACGTTTTTTCTGAATGTCTTCCGTGATAGCCTCTGCTTTGCACTATGTCTGAGGGTTCGCCACCCCAGGGATTGGGCGTGGCTGGCCGCTGACGGCTAATAAGCCAGAAATGGCCATTCCAATTTCCCTTGTATTTACCTCCTCCTGCCTATAATATGCTGGCCCTTAAGCGGCTGCTGGCGGGGCTGGCGATCGAGCCCCAAGGTGCAATGGAAGAAATGATTTCCGTACCGATCGGTGAGCGTCCATCCACCATACTGCATATATATGTACGTAGAAGGACATTACCGACAAAGACAAGGACGGTCAATTCTGGTTTATTAGCCGTCGTCAGCTAGTCATACCCAACTCAGGTGTTGCCCCAGAAATTGGTGCTCCGCTCAAGTTTCAAACCCTCGACCTTGTTAGTTGGAAGTCCAACGCTCTAACCTTTGTGCCACGGACTCGCGGTCTTGTCAGTTTTTGGTCGGTTGCAGATAGGCGTGCACCGATCAGTTGGAGGACACACTCGTCCGTCCATGACGCTTTTGGAGCTCACACTCAAGCCTACGCAACAAGGCGGTTAATGATATAGACAATGACCTAGGTAATGTCCTTCTGTCCATACCATTAGCCGCCTTACGACGTAGGCTTGAGTGTAAGCTCCAAAGGCACCATGGACGGACGAATGTGTCCTCTAACTGATCGGTGTACGTCTATCTGCCAACATATATGTACGTATAATGGTAGATAGTTATTCACCGATCGGTTACAGAACTCACTCGTTCCGGTGTCGCTTGGCGGGGGCACTCTTTCTTGAGGTTCGCCAGCAGCCGCACAACGGCTGATGGTATAGACAGAAGGACAGTACCGAGGAAGACCAGGGAGATTTTAATAGCCATTTCTGGCGTATTAGCCGTCATCAGCCAGTTATATCCAACTCCGGCCGTTGCAGCATCCGCGGCTCGAACATGCGGCCAGTCGGATAGAAGTTCGAGGCTCTACCCACTGCGTCTCGGGTTCGTTGCCTTGCCCGCTGCGATCGGGAATGTACACGATGGTAGATAGGTGTTCACCGATTGGTAGATACGTTACTAAATAAGAAGGTTATTTTGACCTTACTTTTTATCCTTTCAGCTCGATTGCGACAGATTATGGCTGGAGAGGGAGAACGAACAGCCGGTCAGCGCGTGAAAATCGTCCGACTGCAGCAAAAACTGCGGGAAGTGACAGACAGAAACGAATCCCTGGAGCTGCAAGTGAATATCCTCCGCAGGCGCCTCAGCGAGCAGGAAGAGCCACGTGCAACCTCGCCCAGACGCCCGGCTACTTCGCTGACAAACGCGGACAGACAGAGGAGAAGGGTCACCAAGCAGGTGGAACAGATGCGTGCGGAAATACTGTCTCTACAGGCGGAGAACCTGCAACTCAAGGCTCAGGCTCTGACTGAGAATAAAAATTCGGTAATTTTTGGATTTTCATCGCTATATTCTCAGAAGTATTTATATGTAAGAACACTTATCTGTCGGAAACAGAGGAAATGGACAAGACGCATTTGAGCTTTTGACCGCATTCCAATTGGCGGGAGTAGATTTCTTTTTTCGTTCTTCTGAACCTTAGGCTGCCGCTTCGAAGTATAAATGCTTAGTATGGTGAAAGCTGCCGATATTCATACCCGGAAGTGCACTTACATATTAACTCGTCAACTCCTAGTAGTCCTGTGACCGACGTGCGGCCTTTAGAACCGGAACTGAAAGTCAAAACGTAGAAGTTCATTTCCCATGTTGTAAGGGGCGCTCATCGATTGCATTAGGGGATATCCTCGTCACTTTGTGCTTTGGGGCTCGTAGTCGAGAGCTATGTCGATTACAGAGTGGAAATTAACCTAACAGCATAGACACAATTCGGTTATTGACAAGTAATTTTATTGGTTATTTCTGGCTTTCTAGCCTTCATGAGTCAAACATACCCAAACTTAGGTTTCCAACTCCTGAGACTCAAACTCGCGTTCTCTTTGTCAGAAGTCTAATACTCTAACAACTCAGCCCCTTATACGTTGTCCTATCGGTTACGACCAGGTACAGGGGCGATCACCGAACGTGTTACCGGACACACTCATTCTTTTTGACCTTGGGGCTCGACATAGAGCCCAAAAGACAATGGCTATGCGTGTGAAGAGATCTATTGTCCCGATCAAAAACCGACAACACAGCGGACCCATGGCTCGAGGGTTAGAGCGTTTGCCTCTGGCCGGAGAGACGCGAGTTTGAAACTCGAGCGTGGCGACAATTTCCGCGGCTACACTGGAGTTGACCTATTATCGCCTGATGAGGCCCAAATTGGCCGAAAAGCTTCGCGATATGGTCTGTATTGTCGGTAAAATACCATTGTTACTAATAGTTAGTGAGTAACAAATACAATTGGGTTCCAATTACCTCGCTATCATACAATGATGCAGGGTGGGTACATCCTGAAATATATCGGAGTAGAATTACCTAATAACATCCCAATTTCTCTTGTCTTTGTGGATCCCTTCTATACTCCTAGGTCTATTTCTGTTCTACAGTTAGGGTAAATCGATGCTCAGCACTACCATATAGCTTTACATATCGTCGATATTAGACAGGAAGACTGAAATCCGGTAAGTCGGGTTGTAAGGGCGCCTCACTTAGATGCTCAATGACAAACTGAACTCAGATTCAAACCTCGGATACGTCAGTATCGGAACTTCCGGATTGAGTGTTGGCTCACAACAAGTATGCTAGAAATGACTCTTCGAGTGCCGTTAGTCAGGAGTACC